TAGCCAAGTGCGCATTGGCACTGCCAGTCGAACACGCTCTTGACACTGAGTGCAGCCAGTGCACCGCAATCAAAAACGCTATTAGATTAGTGGGTACAGTGACAAATATTTTTATTAAAAGCAGTTACAATTTTGAATATGTGCTACTTCCTCGAGCAATATGATTAATTGCTTGTTTTAACCAATTACAAAAAAATTGTAAAAAATTGGTTCAACGACCATGATTCACCCTGTATATGAATAGCAGGCTTTAAAATTGTTTTGTCCAAAATTTATAATTTTCAGAAAATGAGAAAGAAAGAAACTCTTCACACAAGAAAATTACGCACTTTATAGAAAATAACAATACCTCAATCAGTAGGATGTGAAATATTAAAAAAAATTCCTAAATTACTACAATTGCAAAAAATATTAAGCAAATGCATTTTATTTTTCTCTGGTTAAAAATCATAATACACTTCGAAATGTTTATATTTTTCAAAATATAAATTAACGATGAAAAAATGCTTTCTGGATATCTTAGAGGAGCTTATAATATGAGTCTTCCAACATGAACACTACGCCACCTCTAACTAAAAAAATGAAATTTTGGAAGAAATTGGAAAAAATAAGGACACTAGGAGTCAGGCGCAGAAGACGTCGCGCAAATAATACACATACAAAGTATAAAACTTCTTTATTCTACTAAACGCGCTTACATGTTTCGGCTCACTTTTGAGCCTTCCTCAGAGACAACAAATGTAACATATAAATTGTGAATAAAAATTATTCTGTCATCTGTGGTGATCTCCCTTATCTCGAGAATTTAAATGCCAGAAATTAAACTCAAAAAGAGTGAAAAAAAAAGAAAAATGAAAAAAGCAAGGAAATATTGGAAATATCAAGATAGAGAATATGGAAAACTAATTTATCAAAAAACTTTAACTCAACTCGGCAGTATGACGTTTTTGAAAGAAATGTTTCAGATAAAAATTGGAAGATACAAAAGGATCTATTTATAGATCTTGTCGGTTTGACCTTCGGTGGCGTTACCAAGGTCAGGTCAAAATCAAATTGATTTTTTGTTAATGCGACATCGTATTTTTTATTCCAGAATTTGAAAGCTGGTCTAAATGTGTTTCATGCCAACTCGAGTCTAAACACCGATTATAATTGTGTCTTACATTCTTTATTATAATATGATATACATTTCGATCCTTATCAATATCTCTTAGATACTACAACTACATCAATGTGCTTCCTAGAACATTAAATGATCGCATCCTTATTATCAACAACTTGCTTCATTAATTGAATATACATAGAAAATAATAAATTATTATAAATCAACTTACATGATGTATTGCCAGTATATATAATGATCGCTATACCGTTCATGTCGATAGCCAACAAGCAACTGTTCTCGTTCGCATATAACCTATTCTTTTATTTCAAATATACATATGATTCATATGACCGTCAATAATACAAAACAAAAAGATTGAAAACTAAACTTTAACCAATAAACATTTATATACTGAGCTCAATCTCTCCGTATCAGTCTGTAAATTTAAGCTATTTTCTTGTCTATGAATATGTATCATTTCAGATGTGAGGTTTATTCAAAATTATTTTTTCATTCAGAATTTCTATGTCATCCCACTTAAATTCATGTGAGAAGTCCAATCTATGATCTGTAATTACTGATTTTTGTTGCGTGTGTTCCAATTAATATGATTTCTATGTTCTGCAATTCTAGTTTTTAAAGTTCTACCTGTTTGACCAACGTACGTAACATTGCAATCACCACAAGATAATTTGTACATTACATTGCTGTGAAGCATTTTATTAATTTTATCTTTTTGTACTTTGATTATGCTATTTAATTTGTTAACGCCTTTGTATACTATTTTAACATCCCTATATTTTTTTACTAAAAAGATTTTTGATTTTATCACCTAAAACTTAAAACTTAAAAGCTGATGTTAAGAACTTTTCAAAACATAACAAAATTATTTTTCATTGAATAATTTTCAAGTTATGCGTTATGGCCGAAATAAACCAATCCTGCTTTTACTAGTCAAATAATGTCAAGAATTTTTCAAAACGAGCGCACGCATACACATCCAAACGTACACACACATATGTACAATGAGTAAATACGATCGGGCAATCGCTACGCGCTACATTTTTGTAATACTAATGCCAGCGGTATTGTAACGTTCCTGACTCAACTCGAAAATTGCTTAATGAAAAATTATTACAGTGTTTTAAAAAGTTCTTATTACTGTTTATTAGATTCTGGAATCAAAAATAGGGTATCCCATTAAAAAAATCGATTTGACATTGAAATGACATTGGCGACGCCACCCAAGGTCTGATAACATCTGTAAATAGAGCTTTTATTCTTACAACTTTTGTTTAAAACATTTTTTTCAAAAAGGTCGTCCTCCCGATCTTTTTTGAACACCCTGTATATATGTATATGTATAGACATACGTAACGTCCAATAAATCAAAGATTAATATTCCGTATTTACAGTTTTCCTTATTCGACAGAATTTCAAAGTAATGTCTTCTTTTATACGAAGAATTTTCCTCAAAGTAATACTTTAGTATATACAAATAGTCTTCAAAGTAATCCTTTTGAATATGCGAAGAACAGTCCTTAAAGTAATCTTTTTGTATATACAAAGAATAGTTCTCAAAGTTACCATTTGTATATAAAAATATCGAGAACAGTCCCGAAAATAATCATTTTGTAAATATTAGATGTACAACTTTGCTTCCGCCGTTTTTTTCCGAAATTCGAAGCTTTATTGTAAAAAACTGGTTATACATTTATGATTCAAAGTATTGTCCATCGCTGGCCACTACTTTTTCTCATCTTTTGGGCAACGTACGAATCCCGCGTCGAAAATACTGGTCATCTTCTGAGGCGATCCACGAATCGATCAAATTTTTTACTTTTTCATAAGATCGGAAGTGCTGGTCAGCCAGACCGTGTGCCATTGATCGAAACAAGTGATAGTCAGAGGGAGCAACGTCTGGAGAATACGGTGGGGGGGGGAGGACTTTCCATTTCAACGTTTCCAAGTATGTCTTGACCACTTTCGCAACATGGGGTCGAGCATTGTCATGCTGCAAAATCACTTTATCGTGTCTCTCGTTGTATTCCGGCCGTTTGTCTTTCAATGCTCTGCTCAAACGCATCAATTGCGTTCGATACCGATCGCCTGTGATTGTTTCGGTTTTAACAGCTCATAATACACTACACCGAGCTGGTCCTACTAAATACAGAGCATGACCTTGGAGCCGTGAATATTCGGTTTGGCCGTCGATGTGGAAGCACGGCCGGGAACTCTCCATGATTTTCTGCGCTTGGGGTTATCGTAATGAACCCATTTTTCGTCTCCAGTCACAATGCGATGCAGAAATCCCTTCCGTCTTTGCCTTTCAAGCAGCTGTTCACAAGCAAACAAACACCGTTCAACATCTCTCGGCTTCAACTAGTACGGCACCCAATTTCCTTGCTTCTGAATCATTCCCATGGCTTTGAGGCGTTTTGAAATGGCTTGTTGAGTCACTCCCAATAATCGTGCCAATTCTTCTTGACACGAGTCTTGATAAAATAATGCCTCCAATTCTGCATCTTCGAAAACCTTCTCTCTTCCACCGCTATACCGGTCTTCGACGTCAAAATGATCGTTCTTGAAGCGTTGAAACCACTTACGACACG